TGCGCGACCAGGGGTGGGGGTCCGAACCTGGGGGGGGGTGTCTGGACAATTGGCTGATGCGTGTAGTAAAAGGCTATCTAGCCAAGTTTTGCATTATTCCGTGTTGCTGTTTCTGTCACTGCTGTGGTTGGTCACAACGGAACGTGCCTGGCAATCCAATAACAAGACCCGACGTGTCGACCCTGATCAACTACAACAAAGGTAAAAACGTAGTAGTAGCAACTACTAACAAGTAGCTAGCAGTAGTAGTAGCAGTAGTGTGTGCGTGCGTGAAAATGCTTTGTGCTTTATGTCATTTGAAAAACACAATACAAAATGAAAAATTCAAGAATAGAAACTCATGGTGATTTAATAAGCTACTTTAAGCCGTATTACAGTAAGTTTTTAACCTTGATCTTATGATTCCATACACCAGTAGATATAATCAAGTCAACGATCTCATAACCAAATTACAATGACCATAATATATTATTAATATACCGGCGTTATGCATGTACCTGAGTGGTGAGTATTATATAATCAGGTCATAAGATTACCATTATAAATTTAAATTTGAGTCCTCCTGAAATAATTAGCATAGTGTTTGTGACAACATTAAATGAAACATGAGAGCGTACACATATATACACGTATTTAGTAATAACGAAAAAGAATAACGCCACCCTATTACTGCCCTACGATTCCATACTATACCACCATTGTAAAGATTTTCCATGAAATCGTCAACAATGAGAAAAGGTTTCAACATTATCATTCGCTTATTTTCGTTTGCAACATTGACCACAAAAAACAATGATTTCCTAATCATGTTTGCATGGACGGATATTTTGACAGATCGTATGTACTCAAATAGCTCTCTGAAGTTAATTTAGGTGAATTAAAGACACCAGCACTCAACGAACCACCTCATTCTCCATTTGCTGCAAAGAGAAGACACCCAGATACATCTACCCCATATATAAAATAAAATATTTATCGGCGCTATGCTGTGTAAATTCCTGGCTATCTTAAAACACTTTTCTTTGACCCAACTCCTTGCTAGAGATCAGTGGACTACAAGCTCGATCAACACTACCATTTCGTCCAGATCAGACGTTCTCACAGATTCGCAAACATCTGAAAGAGAACCCACAGTACGCGAGTAATGTATGTTCCATTACTATAGGAGCAACACACTAATCTAATAAATTGTGCCATTGGTTCTTGAAGAACTGCCTCATCCCTCCACAGTCCTTGTTTCTGCAGCCAGGGCATCGCAACATCAGTTGTGGGGAGCTGAGCTTGTCTGACATCAAGTGGGTCTTGCAGATGTCAGCAAGTGCCTGAAACATTGAAGCACATCCAGAAGAATTTATGCAACAATGAATCATGTTTTAGTTATTACAGGTTTATATACGGACACGCAGATGCTGAAGCACAGGAACACGCACGCACGCACGCACGCACGCACGCACGCACGCACGCACGCACACATACACACAAACACACACATGCAAGCACGCATGCACCCACACGCACACGAGCGCACATAATCACCTCAAGTACATTGACTGATTGAGTAAAAAAAACCTTTAGGAATTCACAAAATGAAAAAAGATACTTCCTAGAAAATTCAAAGATGCGCTTTACAAACATTAAGCAGAAAATAAACTAAACAATGCTCAATTCCAGAATCTGCTAATGAATTTTGGCAGAGCAATCAACCAAAATCTGATGCACTGCTTTCCATACTGCAAATCACTTGTTAGGATTTGCCACTAGAACTAGTCACTATGGTGAGGTTGGTTTGGCCATGTTTTTGAAGATTAATGTGTCCATTACCTGAATGAATATAGGGCTGTCATTTAGAGCTTCAGCACGTCTCACCTCTCTAGCTCCAATCTGCAAATTAAAAAAAAACAACCCTGTGGCTATACGGACTTCCTCTGCTCACATTAACCAGCTGTCTCTGTAATGGACAAACACAGTGTACAAAAAAGACACGCAAGACATTTAGAATATACCTTATATCGAATGCAATCGAAAACCTATTTCAGTAAGCATGCATACAAGGTTAATTCCAGGTCATTTGTACTTGTCAACAAATATATTGCACGTGTCAAAAATAGTCTCAAGATAATAATTACACAATAGATGCTATAACATAGGGCCTATTCTCAGGTGCTATTTTACACATATCGCAGACAATAATCCATCATTAAGGCATGACCACACGTTTACCACCACCACAGCGTGACAGCAAAGACTTGTCTGGTTTGACACCGTCTTAATGGCTTGCCTCGGTGCCCCTACTTTGAAGAGAATGTTTGCCTCGGTGGCTCTCTAACCTCTCTAACTAACTGCGGTGCTCTCAACATTCTGCCACTTGCTTTCTCTAGAACATATTCAACCTGTGACCTACCTCCGCAGCGTAGTCGACAGCATACTCAATGTCCAGCTCGTGCAGAGTTTCGATGTGGTCTGATGTAAAGGCGATCGGCACCAGCAGCTGGTCGCGCCTACCCTGCTTAACAAGACCCTTCATGACATCAGTCGTCGATGGAACCAGCCACGGGGACGGACCAACCTGTGCAGAAATATGTTTCTCTGTTAGTAGCTGCCATCGGTAATAAAGACACATGAATCATGTGACTACACTTGGGGACTCGTTTTTTATTTCGCAGGTTTTCGTTATACGTTTATATCGTTATATCGTTTATACGTTTTTATCTCGCGAGCATTTCTCATGTTCTTACCAACCGTTTTCATGTTTTCTCGACCGTTCTGATAGTTACCGTACTCCTTGCATAACACCAAATGTAGATAGTAAGGCTAACATGTCATAGAACACTCCCACAACATTCTTTCCACCAATATGTGCACCGACCTGCATTTCAAATTAGATTGGTTACATATGTCAACAATATATATATATATATATATATTGGTATATATATATATACCTAGCTCATTATGTTTGCTCTTGCAAGACCAGAATCCTCATCAAGTCTTTATATATCAAGAGAATAAGGATGGATCAATTCCCCACTCACATGAATTGTGACTAAAAATTAAATTTCACTAAAAAGTTTTAATTTTAACAATGTATGCATATATTGTATTAGTTTGTATATTAGGCAACAAAAATATATGTACAAACAATCTGATACTGCAGTAAATGGATTAGTGGCCTAGGTTAGGAAGTAAGCATAGAGAGATAAGGGTAGCAGGTAAGCAGGGCTGTATTGCCTAGAAAGTTGGGGATGAATACATTGCGTAGGGTGCGGTAGAAATAACACAAGAATCATTAATTATTGAACTCTAACACAACTTAGCAATCAGGGGCTGTGTGGGAGTGTTTTGTGGGTGTGTCACGTGATCGCTGCTGACTTATCATGTGAGCCTGCACTGCACAGTTGACTGCACGTCTATGCGTGTTTTCCAGTCCATCATCTTCTGCTTTTCTATACTCTTTTTTCTTCTTTATTTTCTGCTTTTTTCACTATAGTTCCAAAAACTTGTGATCGAGCTAGCAGGCTAATGTCCTGACCATAGGTTGCACCTAATGGTTCAGTAGCATAGGCGAGGCTGCACACACATGCCTCACCCACTCCCCGGCTACCGAATATAGTGGAGCTCAGTGCGCTGGAATGTTAGTATGAAAAAAAATTGAGAAGAAAATTGATTCTCATACCAGTAGCCACGTCTCAGTGTTGTATGGTGAATGCGTATAAAGTACTACTCCTGTCTATGTTTTAATACATGACAGTAAGGAGGGCGCGAACGGTGGTTTGTACATGCATTGCACAACAACGCGAATGTTATTGTAAATAGTGACACATTCAAGTCACGGCTTCCCACATGCCCACATGCCCATGATTTCGGATGAAAAGTTTGCAGCACTTGACTTTTTATTAATTGTTATACGATTCGATGTCAGATCGTGTATTTTTGAAGGGCGATAGTTTCTAATACTTCTTGTAGCAGGTATGACGCACACGCACATCAAAATGATTGATTGCACTTATAAAGCCTATTCATACGCTCTGGACATGCTATAAGAAGACCGGTTAAGGCACGAAAATAAAACGAAGACGGGCGGTGCGAGACGGGTGCGGTGAAATGGTGGTATAAATCGGCGTCATTGAAGTTGCTCAAACATATTAAATACGAGAGCGTCGAATGTACTGACAATTCATCTGCAGCTTCAGCGTCAGGTAAAGGATTAATTGTCCATTACGCGTATTAACGATGTGGTATATAGTACTTGCAGTCGCATGTAATGTAGAAGGCCGGCGCTTATGACCACCTTCGACTTTGCAGTTAGCTCTACTCTTGTAGCGCTTCACTGCGCAACAGATCATATAATAAACAGATTATAAAATGAACAGATGATATAATAACAGATTATATAATTTATTAATAGCGAGAGCCGCTATATTAGGTATCGGAACCACGACAGCCGACGAAGACAGTCTGCCGACGTATAAAAAGCTGTAGATATAAATGGGGCAAGCGAACAGATGATTTGATACAGGCTGAAGTCAAGCCGTATATAGAAGACCGTCATATGACGAGTAAAGAAGTAGAGACTGTGACCGCTATATGAGTGTCGCTCCGATGACGAGCGAAAGGCTACGAGCGTAGAGCTGCTCTATGGGAAGCTTGCAAAATGCTCGATGAAACTAGCATGCTGCAAAAATCTAAAGCGGCTGAGGAGAATATAAGTTTTTATTTTTGTCGGTGGTTGCGCCAAAAGGCTAGCGCTTTCCTAATTATAGTCCTACAAAGCAGCAACAAGATATTTTAATATCACATCTTTTCGTTTTTTAGAATCGCCAAACCCGTTAACGACCCTAAATGATGAAGACTTACATAGTTTTTCTCATCTTGATGGTAGTAGCTGTAAGTTGACCAATATATTAGCAATTCAATATTTACGATATTACGGAATATTAAAAATAGTCATTGTTTTTTTAATGTGAAATTATCAATGTAATGTTTTCACTGTTTGCTTAGTAAAACGTGATCACGCATACTCGTTGAATAAGATTATGAATAAAAGAAAACTGCGGTAACATAATAAATATATTTACCTCCAAAGTCTTCATGTTTTTCTACTCTCTTTTGCCCATCATTTAGTAATAATTTCCTGTAAATATCCTTCAAATGCTCATCTGCAACACACAAGTTTACCGCACGCACACGCGCGCCGCTGTGTGCGCGTGCATATAGCGCACTATATATTTTTGTTGTTTGTGCTTGGCGGCGTGCGTGCACGCATGCGGTGAGACAGTGAGCGTGATAGTCTGTATTGCAGAGGAGCGATTGAACAGCATTTATGTAAAATTGCTCGTCGCTAGAGAGTATATAAACAATTACAGACTTTAGTAATATATACATCTCCTGTTTATTTACCATAATTTCATTCTTGAAACGTTCCATGTACATGTGTGCCTGTGGACCAGATCCTACGTCTGTTACATGTGTACACGCTTCTTACGGCGTAGTGAGATTGAGAAGTGAGAACCTGAAGGTACGTCACTTGAGCTCATAGGGTCTATGTCACCTAGGGTACTGCCGGAACGTACCCTGGGTACGGTCCGGTATACCGGAACGTACCTTGGTAACTATTTGATATATGGTTAGGGTTAGGGTTAGGGTTAGGGTTAGGGTTAGGGTTAGGGTTAGGGTTAGGGTTAGGGAGTAGGCGTAGGCGACTCCCTAGACTCGTTAGTGTAGTAGGCCAGGTACGGTCCGGCATATTAAATAGTACCAGGGTAGGTACTATTTAATATGTTTATTTGTATATGTACACTTTAAATACGTAATTTAGTGTAGTCCTACGTTCCGTACCGAGGGTACGTTCCTGCAGTACCCTGGGGGACATAGACCCTCTCAGCGTCACTTGACTTGTGTTGTGATGTCCGACTCCTGGTTACAGTCCTATAGACCCAAGGTCCGATAGACCGAAGGCCCGATAGACCGAAGTTTATTCGAATACGCAGTGGCTACACGTCCGGAATCGGTCGCCTAGCTTCCAGGCTACGCATCCGGACATCCACGTACTGATGCCGTATTCGAACGTGAATATGCCGCACATCCACCGATGCCACTATAAATCATATGATGCCACTATAAACCATATATATGCCCTAACCCTAACCCTTTGCAATATTCGGTCTATCGGACCTTCGGTCTAGTCCCAGTCCTAGTTCTTAGTTAGTACTACTACTACCAGGAGTAAGATAATATAGGATATCCTATTTTATCTTACTCCTGCTACTACTAGCACTAGTAGTAATACTAATACTAGTACTAGTAGTACTAGTAGTAGTAGTAGTAGTAGTAGTACTACCATTGGCATTGGGCCAAGATTTTTTATAGGAAATATTTTGGGATAACATAAACAGTCTAAATTCGCATTCGTTACGTTTTTATATCATTTTACCTGTATATTGTGTAATTTACGATTATAAATAAATATTTTGAGCCCAAACTTCAGCACTAACCTAAAAAGTAGAAACTAAACTAGGGTTTCTGACGTTCTGCTGGCGATCTATGCTGACACTCGACGGCGTTCGCCGGCGCCGGCCGCCGACCGGCCGCAATAGTTGCAAACGCGCTACCTATCGGTGTTAATGTGAATTATTCATTTGTATTAGTATTAGCAGGAGTTAATAATAGACAATTTGTCTATTATTAACTCCTGGTATTAGCAAAGATCTTGCATCCGCGCGTGACCCATATTAATATATATGATAAAATCGGTTTAATTATGTCGTATATGTTATTACTACGAATTTTTCTGTCATGTGAGTGGTATCAATCCATTAGCACATGACAAATGTGTGGACTACATACATGTGTAGAATTCAAATCATGCACGTAGGCCTATATGTATTTCTATGGCAACGACTCAAGCACTATAGGGCATGTATTTCTATGACTACCGCGTAATGCTAAGAATCTGCATTATTAACTTCCGTGCTGCATATCTACTTTCTAAGTTTGCCTTAATTTAGAAATGATTCGTCGCAACCTAATATTTATATTATTTTGCCTGAGCAACAACACAGACAGTTGCTTTGCTAGTGAGTACCAACAGCATCAAGAGTCCATAATAGAAAGAGTCCATACTTTTCTATTATGGACTCTTGATAGCATGCAACCGTTGGGCCAATGTTGGCTGCTAATATATTGGCCCCGCTGATATTAATTTGCTAAGCGCGCTAACAATTTGGCTCAACGTAGATCACCAACAGTGGCTCTACGGCTTTTGGCTCAGCGCCCAACGTTGGCCCAACGAGTGTTTTGCTCAACGTGCCAATCGTGGGTAAGCAAATGTTGGCTCAACTGATTTTTTTGCTAGGTGTGCCAATGCTGGCCCATTGACCATTTTGCTCGGCACGCCAAGTAAATGTTAGCTCAACATTGACCCAACAGTTTCGTGCTCAACGTAAATCGTACGAAATAGGCCTACGTACGTGCATCGCCAATCCTTGCATGCACATTATGTAAAAGTGAAATTATGGTTCTAAAATAAATTCATATAGGATTAATTAGGATAAATCATGCAGAAGTGAATAAAACCAACGTTTGTTTTTATTCACTCCTAGATATATATATATATGTATAAATGTAGAATAATATTCTACATTTATAATATGGTGTTTTTATTTACATTATTATGGTGTCATATAAACTGAGTGCATAAAGCGAGCTTTCGAGACAAAGGCAGTTCAGGAATCCATGTTTAACCCTCCTCCTGAAGGTCAAAATGTTATCAGACACTTACTATTCGCACGTCAGTGGAAAGCACGTTTCATGGTCATTTCAATAAAGTGATAAAAATGGTAGGTCAGCGCTGAAACAAAAAAGTTGTTCACTCTGTCCATTAGACCATGTCCTAAGAAAATGTCTGATATCTGACCTTTCCCCCACTGCCCTTTGACCTCCAATTTCGCACTGGTGATGGATTTCCTGCCCATCACACTATACACCGAATATTAAGAGCATAGGTCGAGCCGTTCAGATTTGTGCCGCAATTCCGTATTTTCTCCTATACCTTAAGTTAAGGGGGAAATATTCCCCCTCCGTTTACACATCTTGACCTTTGACCCTTGATCCCCAAATTTGTCATCCTGAGTCATTTTCATGATCGCCCCCCCAACGTCCCGAATATCGTGACCGTATGTCAAGCGGTTAAGATTTGTGCCCAACTGTTGACGGACGGACGGACGCACAGACAATCATGCGATTCTACAAGCTGCATCTGACTTCGTCAGATGAGCTAATAAATTAATGTACTCTGATACCTCAACGAGATACACTGGAATGCGAGAAGTAGTTTAGGTAAATTAGGGTGATTTTGCCAAAAGTTACCTGACAGTTGAGAATCTGCAAAACTGTTCACTGTTAGCAAGGCATTTAAAGTCCTAAGCCACTTCTGTCTGAAAACATTCTAACCAAACATTTATGGACTGATAGCCAATATTCATTAGCATATTTAATCGTTTTAGAACTGCGGGACGCATGATCCTATGGTTAGCTCTCGCATGAATGTGCAAGCTCTCACTCGAATGATCAATACATAAAACAAAAGCTGCTGGAAAAAACACATGAGAAACGTACCTGTCTCGGGACACATTGTATCCAGTTTGTCAACCAAACCCTGACCCTGAATGTCTGTCCAGTATTTAATAGGGGACCCACCCCCGATTTCTCTGTAGTATTGCTGAATTTTTGGTGTGCGTCTTCTCGCAATCCAAGGAGCAAGCTTACTGTAACATTGAGAATAAGCAAGAAAATATATGTGTACATTTTATAGAAAAATAGAGCCTTTGAGAGTATGTCTCTTTATCAGGCTGTATATCCTGTATTCTGTTCTTTAAGCACATTTGGAAGGGCAGTGGTATCAGATAATTCTATGCGTTTCATAATCTCTTTTGGCTACTGTTGTGTGCATACCTCTGAAAGGGGAGCGGTATGAGATCCTTATCACTGAAGAGTCGGTGTAGAAAGTCTTGCACACCATCCAAATCGCTCGGCCCTCCCATGTTTAGCAGCATTATGCCAGTCTTGACTTTTGGCCTGGTACACAAAATTCTATTTACCAATTCAACATTCACTCAGCCGTAAAAAGCTGGCTCAATAAGCTGTTACTTCTCTAGCTTGCTGTAGTGCTCACTGTCTCGGGGAGGCGTGTAGGGTTCTTTCTAGTTATTATTCAATCCTGATATTATCGTACACTTACTGACATTGGGAGAGAATGTGCAGAGAATATAATCACTACATCATCTCTGATATCAGCCGGAAACTTCAGCAGTTCTTTTTTGATGGAATCAGACACTGCCTACAAAATCAGAATGACATTCCAGGCATGTGAAATCAAGTAATGTTTGAGAAGCACATCAACAATTGAACCTGACTATAGACTCAATCGGTTATTCATGACACATAGGCAATAGGCGCACAATGAGCTTCATCATAAAGTTCAGCAAGAATATGACTCTTATCTGGAACGTAAAAAGTACCATGACATACCTCTACAAGGCCAGGAAAGGTAGGCCATCGATCAATGACACTCCACGTCAAGCGCGATGGATCAGCTCGGTTCCTATAGTGCCTATAGATGGTGTTAAGACTGCTACCAGTTGTGGAACAGCTGTATTGTGGATACTGGGTAAAGGCAATAGCATGTTCCACCATATCACTGCCAACGAAAATCATTAGAAAATCATTACAAAAAAGACAAATACACAGCCCAACAAAAGGCAAGATGGAAATGTGTGGAGCACAATACAAATCATTCTAAATTTTTATGGCACATTTTGCAAGAAAGGGCACAGATTGATTGACTATTTGTACAAGTCTACAGTAAAATGGATAAGCCATCAATGTTTTACACATTTTTCACGCTACACACCAGCATTGCTTAGCATAAACAAAGCCTTGACTGAAGTATAGCTAAGCTGACTTTGTATGCAAATAATATATAATTAGCACATTTGTATGCAATGTACCTTTCCATTTGCTCTATTGCATCTTCTGTTAATGGGCTGACATATCTAAAACCAACATAAAACTTGTGTGGTGCTAAAAAAGCAAAGAAGGTAAATGCTTTTAATATATAAGAAACTAATGCATGGATAAAATATAGGATACATTCATGCTAAAATCTAAAACATGAGATGAAGTTTTAAACACACCCGAGTATAACTGCTATGAAATACTACACCGACCATAATTTTATATAACACCAGCAAGCATAAAAAAAAACACTAAAACACACACAGTCATCTTTCCCACCCATCCCAGCTCAATATATACAACTAGAACTAGAAGCAAATTCTGCACTAGATAGACAAATTGATTGAGTTTTGAAATTAAATGACCAATTTTTCACGAGCCACTAGGCCATATGCATGTAAACTGCCTTTATGAGTCAAACTGGACAGGACTATACTCTGCAAGAAAACATTCCATTCAAATATTATTTAAGATTAGAACGTTTCAGAGAAAGGCCTTATAATTGTCACTTACACATCACACTCTCTAAGTCTACTACAGACAAGAGCCGCAGAGCGTCTGGGCTCATCTGAGGTCTGTTGCTACGGTTATAAACGTAACATTTAAGTCGTGTGTAGTGACACCTTTGTTAGGCATACATATCATTTCAGCAACCTTCTGCATTCTGCATACCTCCCAAATCCCATTGGTTGATACAAATCGCATGCCTAAAACTCCTGTTTTATGATGCATTGTGACCCTAACCCTAACCCTAACCCTAACCCTAACCCTATTAAAAATAAATATAAATAAATAATTGTTGTAAAAAAAATTTGTTGTTATTAAATTGTTGTAAATAAATTATGTAAATATTTGCGTTAATTGGAAAAAAATAGTTAAATGGATAAACTAAATGGATAGAAAAATACAGAAAACAGGTAAATAATAAAAATGGATTCGATCCAACGACATTTCAGCCGTGACGCCCGTGCTGTACGCGTTCGGCTATCCAGGCTTATTGGCGCGCCGCCCTCCATGTTTAGCAGCATTATGCAGTCTTGACTTTTGCCTGTGTACACAAAAATTCTATTACCAATTCACATTCACTCAGCCGTAAAAAGCTGGCTCAATAAGCTGTTACTTCTCTAGCTTGCTGTAGTGCTTACTGTCTCGGGGAGCGTGTAGGTCGCGAATGTCAGAATTTCGCGACAGTCTTTCTGTGATTCGCCGTGACACAGCTCGTTACGAACAGATTACTCGTTACATGTTTTTATACAAGTGAACACTGTTCACGTTCCAAATGTCTGCCCTCTGTGTCCCCACTAAAATTGCGACTGTTCGCTGGCAGCTATGGATTCGTGCGCTGGCCTATGCATTCGCGCACGATCCATAGCTCCACGCGCTGCATACTGTCGTAGGACGTTCCCAGCCCGCGTCGCCTTGCCGCGGAACTGCGCGCAAGATCCGCGCAGCACTTCGGATTAACACCCCTTTCGGCAACGCTTCTCTAGTATCCCGTCTCATCTGGATATTTTTTCCCGTATTTCCAATAGATGGCGGCACTACCTATATACTGTGAGTGTTACCAGAGCATATAAATCACTGGTGAGTAATTGGTGATTTATATCTCTGGTGTACTCACCAATATTACTCAGCGACTGTGCAGTGTATATTAATATATATACCCTCTAGCTCTCTAGTCTATTCACCATTTAGTTATCATTGCAATTTCTAATAATTTATTATTGCAAATAATAAAAAATAAAAATACAAGATAACATTTCAATATTTTGGAATCGATATGCGAAGGAATCGAACATCGGAGGCTACATATCGAGAAACGGATCGAATCGGAGCTTGTGTATCGTTACAGCCCTATATATATACAGGCGCGAAATTAGCCGCCGCGCCACCGGCATATGCACGCAAAATTATTTGAGACGTGAACATTGGCAAAACACCGGCCTCCGCAGCGCGTGGTTTCAGCCATGTTATCGCGATATCCAACATTGTTTATTCTTAGCAAAATAGCCTAACATTCACTTGTTTTATCTGAATGGATATCAGTTGCCATAGCGTCACCTTATATTATCCTCCATTTTACAAATTTGAAATCAAGAATCAAGCATCGAACATGACTATTACTTTACATAAGTAGGGCTGGTGAAAAAATGCTGTAAAATCTGAATTTCGTGTCCTGAATAATGAGCTTCACGTTAAAAACACATCAGTTTTATTACCTGGAATCGTCAAACGCTTGGCTCGTACTCTTAACTCATGTCCTTGCTACATTGTGAGTCCTTCAACAGCCTGCACCTGTGAAGTGAACCTGCCAGCAGGTGATGCAATAGCCTTGTATATACCGATCTATTGGCTTATATGTGCAAGACAGACCATTTGATCTGTCTGTGAAGAAAGGCACTAGAGTTTGGTTATCAAATAGTAGAGATCAATTTTGTTCGTCTGTAATGGGTATATATGTGTGTTCAGAACTGGCTCGACACACACACAGCCAGACCACAGGCCCAGCAGCCACAGCGATTTGGAACGTTTCAATAAAAAATAACAATGCGCAGAGCACAGCCCTCAAACTGATGTGTACTGTACGGGTATTCTTCTCAAAAACTCACCAGCACTGAATCAAACGTGGCCTCTCCCGCCACCGCGCATTGATAGCTTTGCTATACAGTAGTAGCAGTAATAAAGATATAGCTGGTAACTTAATGACTTCGCTATATTAACTATCATGGATATGCGTCGAGTGCAATGCGCAGGGGTGGTGTGGCGGGAATGGTGGGGGAGGTGAGGGGAGGGTGGGCGAGGGGCGGGTCAGAGTGCTCTAAGTAGCAAAAGCAGTTCAGTCCTTTGTTAACCAGTCAACAAACTCCATGTTAACCTCCCTCTTGAGGGTCAGACCTTACATCCTTCGCACGTCAGCGGAAGAGATTTCTAACGGTCTTTCGATAGGAGTATAAAACTCGGTAGTCGCCTGAAAGCAAAAAAGTTTTGCAGTCGGGCCGTTAGACCATTTCCTCAGAAATGTCTGATATTGACTTTCCCCCCTGCCCTTTGACCTGTGACCTTCAATTCTTCGGCTGCTCGGTGCATGGGTTCCTCCCCCATCAATATATACATCAAATATAAGCGGATGGGTCGAGCCGTTGAGATTTGTGGCGCATTTCGAGTTCCTATATACTTAAGTTAGCGGAAAATAAGTCCCCTCCCATTGACACATCTTCTGAACTTTTGACCCTTGATCTCCAATTCGACACCACGAGTACTTTTTTCGAATCACCCCGCCCCCCCGACCGGTTCCGAATATCAGACCGTACGTCGCGGCGGTTGAAGACTTGTGCGCTTATCATCGAATAACAAGCTGCATCGTGACTTCGTCAGCTGAGCTAACAAGTACCGGTAAATTAAACACCTAATATAGTTACTCCAAAGTCTTCAGTTTTTTCTACTCCTCTTTTGCCATACATTAGGAAGTAATTCTGTAATATCCTTCAAATGTTTATCTGCACAGCACTAAGTTTACCGCCACGAACCGCGCCCGCTTCGTAGCGCGTTGCAATAGCGCACCTATATATTTTTGTTGTTTGCTTGGCGCGTGCGTGCACGCATGCGCGTGAGACAGACGTGATAATCTGTATTGCAGAGGAGCGATTGAACAGCATTTATGTAATTGTCGTCGCAGAGAGTATATTAAACCAATACAACGTGTATAACTATACATCTCCTTGTTATTTACCAAATTCTCATTCTTGAACGTTCATTGCTAATGTGTGCGGTGACAGATCCACCGTCGTTCATGTGTCACCGCTTCTTACGAGTAGTGAGTGAGAAGTGAGAACCTGAAGTTACGTCATTAGAAGCCTCATAGGTCTATGTCACTAGTGGTACTGCCGGAAAACGTCCTGGTGACGGTTCCGCGTATACACTACCTTTTAACTATTGATATGTTTAGGTTAGCGGTTAGGGTTAAGTTTAGGGTTAGTTAGCGGTTAGGTTAGGGATGTAGGCGTAGCGACTCGCTCTACGAGCCCTCGGTTAGTGTAGTGTAGGCCCAGTACGGTCCGGCATATAATAGTTACCAGGGTAGGGTACTATTTAATATTTTATTTCGTATATCACACTTTAAATACGTTAAATTTAGCGTAGCCTTACGTTCCTGTACCGAGGTACGTTCCTGGCAGTCCTGGGGGGACATCGACCGCTCTCAGCGTCCCTGATTGTGTTTATGTCGGCTCCTGTTACAGTCCTATAGACGAAGTCCGAATAACCGAAGGGCCCGACTTAACGAAGTTATATCTCGCATACGCAGTGCGCTCACGTCCGGAATCTCGCTAGCTCCAGCTACGCATCGACTTCCACGTTAGATGCCGTATTCCAACGGAATATGCGCACATCCACATGACACTTATAAATCATATGATGCCACATAAACCAATATATATGCCCTCACCCTCAACCCTAACCTTTGCAATATTCGGTCTATCGGACCTTCGGTCTATAGCCTATACTCTATAGACCTAGTCCTAGTTCTTAGTTAGTAATACTAAAGTAATACTAATAGTAGTTACCGGTTTATATCAGATTTTTTATAGGAATATTTTGGGATAAATAAACAGTTCTAATTCGCATTCGATCGATTCGTTACGTTTTTACTATCATTTTACCTGTATATTGGTAATTACGATTTAAATAATATTTGAGCCCAAACCTCGAGCACTAACCTAGAAAGTAAGAAACTTAACTAGGTTTCTGACGTGCTGCTCGGCGATCTATCTGACACTCCAACGGCGTTCGCCGGCGCCGCCGCGACGGCCGCATATTGCAAACGCGCTACCTATCGGTGTATATAGTGAATTATTCATTTGTATTTATATATGTACCAGCGAGTAATAATAGACAACTCCGGTGTCCGATTCATCTAACTCCGAGTATTAGCCGACAAGATCTTGCATTCCGCTGCTGGATGCGCCATTATTACATATATGGATAAAATCGTTTAATTATGTCTATATGTATTTACTACGACATTTTTCTGTCATGTGAGTGTATGCGATCACATTAGACCATGACAAATCTGTGGACTAATACCATGTGTCAGATATCTAAAATATGCACGTGCTATCTGTATTTGTATTGGCACGACTCAAGCCATATAGCGCATGATTTTCGATGACTACGCGTATTCAGAACATCTGCCTTGATTAACTCCTGCCTGGCTATCTACTTCTAAAAGTTTGCCTTAATTTAGAAATGATGGCGTCGCAACCAATTATTTATATTCAATTACTTGCCGAGCAACAACCAGACCAGTTGCTTTGCTCAGTGATCCAACCAGCATCAGTTCCATAATAGAACATAATCATACTTTCTATTATGACTCTTGATACAGTGCAACCGTTGGCCAATGTGGCTGTAATAATATTGCCCCGCTGAATTATATTTGTAGCGCGCTAACAATTTGGGCTCAGCGTAAAGATACACCAAAACAGTGGCCTCTACGGCTTTGGCTCAGCGCCACGTTGGCCAACAGTGTTTTGCTCAACGTGCCGATCGTGGTAAGCACAAATGTTGGCTCAACTATTTTTCTAGCGGTCGCCAATGCTGGCCCATTGACCTTGCTCGCACGCCAATAAATGTTAGCTCAACATTAGACCCACAGTTCGTGCTCAAGTCAATCGTAGAAATAGGCCTGTATCGTGCATCGCCAATCCTGCATGCACATTATGTAAAGTGAATTATGGTCTACAAAAAAGTCTATATAGGATTAATTAGATAAATCATGCGAGTGAATAAAACCAACGTTTCTTTTTATTCACTCCTAGATACTATTATATATGTATAAATGTAGAATAATATTCCATTCTATAAGATGGTTATATTAACATTATTATGGTGTCATATAAACTGAGTCCGCATAAGCGAGCTTCGAAAACAATTAACGCCTCTTACTTTTGGCAAAATGGATATATACGCGATGTGTGTGTGTGTGTGTGTGTGTCTGCCCCCGTGCGTGCGTCGTGCCGGTCGCTGTCGTCGTGCTGCTGTGTGTTGTGTGTGTGGTTGTGTGTGGTGTGTGTGTTGTGTTGTGTTGTATGTGTGTGTGTGCAGATGCGTGCTGCGCGTGTATGCGTC